TGGTGCCTGACAGGCGGAAACCAACAGGTGAAGCATCATTGTATTGCCTTGTTGGGAAAAACATTCCTAACGGATTTCTGTCACATCTGCAGAGTTCTAATGAATTTTTAAAGAGAACCAAGATGCATAACTTAACTGTAGACAAATCTGAAGCAATGCTTGCCGACAGCAAAATAGGAGCTATGCCTATAAACTGGTCTGCACTTTCTCAGAGGAAATGTGAAGTTCAGGTAGTCAAATGTGTTTATCTGTTTATTTGTTTTAAATCCCTACATATAAACAGCTGGCAAGTCAAGCCAAAGGATAAGCCACACAGACCAGCTTATCCGCAACAATGCAGTTTTCTAAGTGCAAGAATATTTACTTTATTACTTTTGTTTACAGTGTAGAAACCTCAAAAAATTCCTGGGTTTGAAGATACCGAATCTAGCCAAAACAGGGGACTTTTAACAAGAAAGAGTTAATGGACTGGGACTTAACTCTTTGAAATTTCTACCTCCAACAAAGATGTTCTTGTTGTGTGCCTCCAAGTCATTTTTAACGTATGGAAACCCTAAAGCAAACCTGTCATAGGGTTTACTTGGCAAGTTTCTTCAGAGGGGGTTTGTCATGCCTCTGAAGCTGAGAGTATGTGACTTGCCCAAGGACACACAGCGAGTTTTTAGCTCCCGCTGGGAATTGAACCCTGATCTTCAGAGTTTTAGTCCAACACTCAAACCGCTACACCATGCTGGCTCTCTAACAAAGAGATTGGATTTGAAATTTTATTGCCTGTATTTTACTGATCCCCACAAGGCCAGGAAGGAGAATGGCGTCTGTTCTGCCTACACTGATATCCCCCGTAGGCTGCATCCACACTGCTGAAATAATCCAGGTTGACACCGCTTTTACTGCCATGCCATGATGTTATGGAATTCTGGGATTTGTAGTTGTTGTGGCACCAGAGCTCTCTGACAGAGAAGGCTAAATATCTCACAAAACTACAAACCCCAGGATTCCATAGCATTGAGCCATGGCGCCATGGCAGTTCAAAGTGGTGTCAAACTGCATTATTTCTGCAGTTTAGATGCAGCCTGACAACAGAAGTGACCCTAACATCATCCCTTTTCTTTTCCTGTATGATTTTAAACATATTTGGCTGATGAAGTAGCTTCAAAAGCTTGCATGATGTATTTAGTGCTTTTTAGATATATAAGTATAGCTCTTTTGTGGATTTTGTTGTATATTACTGCATAAGGAGTATCTCAGGAATACCAGAAAGGAAATCCAGTTTATCCATCTGATCTCTGTTTACATAGAAATTCTTGAATTTCCTTTTGGGCTGACATTTTCAGCCATTCATTATTTCATTGAAGGAACCAGAATTCAGACTATGTTCATTATCTCCAGACAAGATCCAGATTATAGATTTGTGAATGCATTCAGGCTGCCCTCTAGTGCCAAAGTAGGGACTTCCAAATAAGAGTGGGGGGATTAAGGGAACAGAATGTGATTGTAAAAGTAGTTGCTAACCGCAACACATAGGACCTTATCACACGGGGTCTGAAGCAGACCTAATCCAAAGGGTATCCGTAGCTAATACATATTATTTCCCCGTGTTTACACACGGCGTTGCAACGAAACTTGACAGAACCCGGAGCTAATCCGTAACGAATTGAGATCTTT